TTTATAGCAAGGAGGGGAGTGATTAACTTTTCAGTCTAGGAGCGGAGGTCCCTAGGACCATCAAGGGAGAAGAGCAGAGAGCAGGACCCTACCCAGAGAAGCAGTGATGCATGAAATGGAGCCAGAGATGAGGACGTGGAGCGATGGAGCAACTGGAGACTTTAGATCCAAAGAGGGAGAGCGACTGTGTGCTGAAGACCTCGGGGGTATGGGGGAAGGATTGCATGGAGGGGATTGTAACCATGGCAATGAGACGTATATACGATAGAATGAATGTAAGACTGACGTTCTCCCATGTAAACTATGACATAATTCACAATAAAACATTTTTAAATAAAAAAGAAAAAGATACTATTAAGAAAACCAAAAAACATACACTTGGAGAAAACATTTGCAATATACATTTAATAAAGAACATATCTAGAACATAAATTCTTACAATTCAATAAGAAAAACAACTCAATTTTTAAAAATGAGATTCGAAACGTTTCACAAAGAATATGCACAAATTACTACATGAAAAGATGATCTATGCCTTTGTTTTTGTTATTGTTGCATGCTACTGAGTGGCTTTCAACTCATAGCGACCCTGTCTAGGGTTTCCATGGAGTGGCTGGTGGTTTTGAACCACTGACCTTGTAGTTCAAACTGACCTTGTGGTCCAGTGCACTACTAACTCAAGTAAATCACAGAATACTTATTTATCCCAATGTTATTAATATATATTTTATGTATGTAGCATCATATAAATGAGTACTGTAATGCTAGGAATGCCCTTGGTCCCTAATTTAGAATACTAAGAGCCAAACTCAACCATGTCCAGCATAGATCTAAAATAATTTAAAAATATTTTACCACATCAGATTATGTGAGAACACCACAGGAAAAGGAAAAACAGAACATAAAATTTCAATGAGAAAAGCAAAAGCCTTCAATGGGATCCTTGCAGCATTGGAATATCTGTAGAGAACAGGGAGTAACTCTTATAATCTGCTGAGAACTACTGGTGTCACATAACCCTCCTAGAAATACCATACACTAATATGAAGAAGAGCAAAGAAGTTAAAGGAACCACAAAGGTACTACATAGGTGGGGCAAAATAACTGGGCAAAAGTGTGGGAACAAGGGAAGCCTCCTGCCTTGCAAAGCCCCCATGAAACAACCATAAAAACTTTTGGGAAAATGATACGCCAGAAAGAATGATCAGTGTGAAAGCTCAAATTGATGTACTTTTTAAGCATCCTGACAGATTAAGACTGATGTTTCCTGTTTCTCTTCAATGGCATAGTATAACAGTATAAGAACCTTACCTTTAGATTCTTGCCCTCTTTAGCCAATAATGCCCGAAGTCTTTCTTGTGATGGTGGTGCTATGAAGATAATATATGGTTTCAAGTCTGAATTCCGGAGGGTCTTCAGTGACTGTAAAGAAAAGGTATTTCCATCATTTACCTATTTCCCAATTATGCACTTGAAATACAATGTCATTTTTAAAACGCTGCCTGCGATTATTTTCTAAAATCTTCAAACATCACACAATATCTAGTATTTTAAGATCATAGCATCAATGATAAGAATTTACTCTATGTGTATTAATGTAAAAATGTTAATGCTTGCTCTTTTACAAAATGAAATGTCAATGAGCAACACTGAAGGATGTCAACTATGTTACGCTAAAATATTCTGGTCATCAGATGAACTGGACCTTTGCTTATGGATGCAGTTGCTCCAATTCCAACCAGAATGGAAAGATTCTTTGTATCAAGGAACAAGCTTGTTTCCTCAGTGCACTGGGTTGGTATAGATGGGTAATCTAGACATTAGCTATCAAAAATGGGGGGCTATAAAGCTACAAAGTGGCTGACTAACAAGCTTTCATGAGTGTGCTTAGTTTCAGAATGAGAGGGGTAAGGTAGAATCCCCACTGAATTGTCTCCCTCTTCTACAGACAGATCTGGAACAAGGGGTATTGGATGATGCTGATAGGATTTTATGATTTAATTGTGAGTAATTGCTGGTAGAATTAATTGTGATTGCTACAACTGTAATTGTAGAAGATGTGTAACTAAAAAGGGGGCTAGTTTTAGTCTTTCATTTCAGGAACAGACGATCCCAGGACCATCACATGAGATTCTACCTAAAAAAGCAGTAACAGCAAAGGCGATGGCATGGGAGAGAGAGTAGCTGAGGACTCTAGGTCCAAGGACTGACAAAAGGCTATGTGACTGTAGGCAGGAGGCTGGCTTGCAGAATATGCCCTTAGGACATTTACATGAATAAGTATTTTTTATTTTGTATGTGTCCATCAAATATTTTTGCTTTGTTCATTTGTGAAATACAAGATGTAAAAGGGAAGCCACAGGGTTAAGTAGGATAACTGTTGTTGCAGGGCGGGGACTGCAATCATTGAGATGAGACAAAGTTTATAATTTGTTGCATGTAAAGCTGATAATCTTGTTTGTTAATTTACACTCAATTCATAACAAAAAGTTTTTAAAAAAATCTATTTGGGAGGAATTAGAAATCAGGCAGTCACCTTAAGGCACTACATGTAAGCAGAATCAGAAATAACAACTTCACACTCCACATGCAAAAGAAAAGAGCAAAGTCCAGCCTTTCCGGTTGGAACTAGAAGCCTTTCCAGAGTTTCTGCCCTGATATATCTGAAAGCTTAAACTGAAATTATCCCTTGGATCACCTTTTACCTAAATAGACTGGCTCATAAGGTAAAGAGTATTGTCTATAAGTAATGAGCTTCTTTAAGAAAAATCATCTATTGTAGAACAAATAGTCACAAATTACTCTAAAAGAAGTAGGTAGGTAAGAGGGCAAGGGAAGTAAAGTAGAATGGTACAAATGGAAGAGAATGAATTGAGAGTAATGACACAAGGTGAAAATGCCTAGTGTCACTGAATTATGTATGTTGCTATTAGAACCACTGAGTCAGTTTCAATTCATAGCAACCCTGTATAGGGTTTCTGAGGAACAGCTGGTGGGTTTGAACCACCAACCTTGCAGTTGGCAGTCTACTGTCTACCCTACAGTGGCACACCAGGACTCAGGATCATGTGTATAGAAATGGTTAAATGGGTGGCGCTGTAGGATAAGCACTCGACCACAAGGTCGGTTTGAACCGCGAGGCAGGCAGTTGAAACTTATCAGTGGGAGAAAGATGAGGCTTTCTGCTCCCTTGAAAATTTAAAGCCTTGGAAACCCTATATAGGGCTGCTATGAGTCAGAACCGACTCCATGACACTTAACAACAGCAACGATTCGAACCCAGCAGAAAAGGAAGAATACTGTGGGAGGGATGGTTGGTGTTAGAATAGGGTCAAAAAGGGGAAGCTAGACATGGCCTCCATGCCATTTTTATTATGTATTTTCCCTCTGAGGAAATTGAAAAAGATTTACCAACTTGTCTAATGTTACTTAGCAAGTCAGAGGGGGAAAAAATACATATATTAGAACTTAATTAGGTCCTTAGACAAAATACAATTTCCACTAAATTACTTTGCAAAAATATGCCCCTCAAGTTTAACAACCTAAATCAAAATTCTAGCTTTACCTGTGTACGAAGACTTAAAAGACATATTTTGCCAGAGTTGATCACTTGCCGTACAGAATCTATGCTGGTTCCATACAAATTTTTCTCAAATTCACCATGTTCAATGAACTTTCCAGCAGCTATGTCTGCTTCAAAGGCTTGCCGTGGAACAAAGTGGTAATCTCTACCAGCTACTTCATGATCTCGTCTACTCCTAGTTGTATCTAAACAAACAAAATCAGGTAAAAATAATGGGCATGGGTGAATGTAAACATGGGGGATAATTCTGCTAGTCAGAAAGAAAGGTTTACTTTGTAATACACACTATAAAGGAATGAACTGATGACAATATTAAAAGCTCACACTGACTGTTTCTATTGTTTCTTGGGAACCCTGGTGGTACAATGGTTGAAGTGTTGGGTTGCTAACTGAAAAGTCAGCAGTTTGAATCTAGCAGCTGTTCTGTAGGAGAAGACACAGTATGCTTCTGCAAAGATTTTCAGCCTTGAAAATCTTATGGGGCATGAGAATCATCTTTAAATTTTCCAATTTTTCTCATCTTTACATTTTCAAAAATTTCAAATGTTGGTTTGGTTTCTATTTCTATATTGAGAAATGATCAAGTATGTTTTTTCAGTATCTTAATGATAGTTACATTTGAGTAGAACTGTGCTTCACAGGACTTTCAATAGCTGAAAAATATGTAGATCACCAGGCCTTTCTTTCAAGGCACCTCTGGATAAACTCAAACCTGTCAAACTCCCATGTGCACCAGCCAGGGCCTCTTCCACACGTCAGGTATTATATAATCTTAAAATTGAATTTGTTTTTCGAGATTAGGTCCAAGTTTCTACCTTCAGCATCAATATAAAGAACCAGGAATCTGATTCCATACTGAAGTGGGAATTATAAGGAATCCAAACTGAAATTCATTTAAAAAGTAACTAGTATCATACTCTTATCTTTAGTAACAAATTAGCCAAAGATTTGGTTAAATAAAGGTCTTTTTCAATTTGTGACACTAGATGAATAAAAAGTTTTCTATACTGTTAAAGGAGGCAAAATGGAAAAACACAAGAAAACGGGAATCATCCAAACTTACGAGGAACTGCAGATGCAAAACGGTCTTTTTCTTTGTTCATGAGCCTCTGACGCAATTCATTCTGGCCACAATTCTGTGGACCAATCAAGATGATAGGTCTTTTCCTATTTGCAGGTTGATGATAAAGCGACATTTCCTCGTAAGTTAAAATCTCCTCATTGTCATAATCTTTGGAAAAGAGAGAGTTAAGCCTTTCGATCATAATTATTGCCATGTAACAAAGATATAAATACAGCTATTCCCTCAAAATTGAAAAGAAGCTCAATTTATTATCATTAAAAATGCTTAATTTTTCTGGATCATGACAGTAATAACTGGGACAGTAATATGGTGAACTCTATATGTGCTAGGGTAATACGAAAATGAATCAGACAACTATATGTAATTCTTCTAGGAATACTCTTGGTCCATACTGGATTTGAATGACTAATACAATATAGTTATACGAACACTTAAGTTAAATAGCAGTTTGAAGTCAGTATTTTGACAGAGGGTTGAACACCAAGAGATAAACAAATGTCCTGTCACTTTTGTAAACTGGGCACGCTTTACTTAGAGAGTTGAGTTTGATCTGTTCTGGAAGACTAGCCTGGAATCATGACTCAAGATGAGGTGTCAATGATGATGGGTGGGGTTATATGCTGATAACCTATCATCCAGATGAAATCAGAGCTGTCAAATGGTAAAACAAAAAGCAGATAACTAGCAGCCTGCTAAGTCCTTCTGCATTATTTCATCTGACAAGGAAAGACCACCTGATGTGCACTTGATGCTCTCTTGAGCTTTACCTTTCATGTGGGCAGGGGACCAGCTTGGCCTTCCTTGCCGATGCTTACCACAGAGTCTCACACACAGAAGGAGCTCAAACAATATTTGTTTGAATTCCAGCTTAGTCATATATTAGCTGTGAGAATTTCAAAAGCTTACTTTAATATCTGAACTTGAATTTATCCATCTGTATCTTCAAGGAACTTTTCTAAGAACTAAATTGACAAATTTATCTAAAGCATCTGATACTGTCCCTGGAATAAAACAGGTATAAATGATGTTGTTAAGTGCCACAGAGTTGGTTCCGACTCACAGTGACCCTGCATAGGGTTTGAATTGCTGACCGTGTGGTTAGTCGTCCAGTACTTACTCTATAGCACCACACTGCTGTTGCTGTTAAGTGCCATTGAATCTGCTCTGACCCATAGCGACCCTGTGTAACATTTCCAAAGAGCGAATGGTAAGTTTGAACCACCGATCTTGTAATTCAAACCAACCTTGTGGTCAAGCGCATCATCCCACAGTCCCACACCAGGACTCCACATAGTTATCATTAACAAAATATCGATAATGTCACTACTATGAATACAAATATAATCCTTCCCCTTTCCAAAACGCTTTTCCATGTGAAAAATCTGAGTTCCTTCTTCTGACACATGTAGTGGTGGTGGTGGTTGTGTGTTGTTGAGTCGTTGTGCTTCTGACTCATAGTGACCCTGTATAAGGTTTCTGAGGCTGTAAATCTTTACAGGAGCAGAAAAATTTCATCTTTAGCCTGTGGAGCAACTGGTAGATTGAACTGCTGACCTTGCAGTTAGCAACCCAGCTCATAACCTACTACCACTATGCTACCAGGGATCCTTCTGACAAATTTTCTTTAGTAGACCTTATATAGCTGGACCAGTTAATTTTTGTCTCTTTGTTCAAAAGATGAATAAACAGAGAAATTAGACAAGTAGAAATGATAGGATTGAAAATTCAATAAATCTTTTTGGTTACATAACTTGCCAGTTAGCATGAAAAGGGTGCTTATTTTAGGGGGAAAAAATCTATCTATATACATAAAGCCAATCCTCAGATTTGGTCTTGTGTGGAACTTTTCAATAATCTGTAACAGTTTAACTTTTATTAGTTTACGGTGTTGCTGTTCTTAGGTGCTGTTGAGTTAGTTCCAACGAAGTGACCCGGTACAGGGTTTCTGAGGAGCAGCTGATTGATTTGAACTGCCGACCGTGTGGTCCATAGTCCAATGCTGACATTACAGTGCCACACCAAGATTTTAAGTTGTTGTTGTTAAGTACTGTGGAGTCAGTTCTGACTCATAGTTACCCTGCACAGGGTTTCCGAGGCTGTAAATCTTTACGGGAGCAGAATGCCTCATCTTTCTCCCACAGAACTGCTGGTAGTTTTGAACTGCTGACCTTGAGGTTGGCAGCTCAACTTGTAACCACTATGCTTAGTTAGGTGCTGTTAAGCCAGTTTTTGACTCACAGGTGACTCTATGTGACAGCAGAACTGCCCCATAGGGCTTTTTAGGCTGCAATCTTTATAGATACTGAGCATTGGCTCTTTTTCCTTTGAAGTTGTTGGGTGGGTACAATCCACCAGTCTTTTGCTTAGAAACCTAGTACTTGACTGTTTTGTTACCAGGGGGTCTAAAATATTTCAAGTTCTTGAGAAATTATACTTTATAAACTGTATATGAAGTTAAGGAATGTCTGCTTTATTATTTGGCGTTTTTTCTAACACGAACCAAAGGGGGGCAGCAAATTCATAAGTCCAAAGGACCAACCAAGAAATTAATGAAAATCAGAAAAATCAATAAATCATGTTGGAGTGACAAAAAATTGGGAGCGATGGGACTACTGAACTGAACAGCTGTTGTTAGGTGCCATCAAGTCGGTACCAACTCATAGCGACCTTATGTACAACAGAACGAAAAACTGCCCGGTCCTGGACCAACCTCACAATTGTTGCCACACTTGACCCCATTGATGCTTCCACTTTGCCGATCCATCTTGCTGGGGTTCTTCCTCTTCCTCTCTGACCCTTCATCCTATGAAACATGATCTCCTTCTCCAACGACTGCTCCTTCCTGACAATATGTCCAATGTATGACAGATGAAGTTTGGCCATCCTGGCCTCCAAGAAGCACTCTGACTACACTTCTTCCAACACAGACCTGTTGGTTCTTTTGGCAGCCAATGGCACTTTCAATATTCTCCTCCAACCCCAAAACTAAAAGCATCAATTCTTCTACGGTCTTCTTTATTCACTGCCCAGCTTTCGCATGCATATGAAGCTATTGAAAATACCATGGTTTGGGTCAGGCACACCTTAGTCCTCAAACTGACATCTCTGCTCTTCAACACTTTAAAAAAGGTCTTGTGCAGCAGATTTGCCTGATGCAATACGTCGTTTGATTTCTTGACTGCTGCTTCCGTGAGTGTTGATCCAAGAAGAATGAAGTCCTTTAACAACTTCAATCTTTTTTCTCTGTTGATAAGAATGTTGTTTATTGGTCCAGTGGTGAAGATTTTTGTTTTCTTTACATTGAAATGCAATCCATACCAAAGGCTGTGCTCTTTGATCTTCATCAGTAAATGTGTTAAGCCTTCTTCAGTTTCAGCAAGTAAGGTTGTATCATCTGCATATTGCAGGTTGTTAATGAGTCTTCCTCTAGTCCCGATGCCACATTTTTCTTCATATAACCCAGCTTCTCAGATTATTTGCTCAGCATACAGGTTGAATAAGTATGGTGAAAGAATACATCACTGTCGCACACCTTTCTTAATTTTAAACCATTTAGTGTTCCCATGTTCTGTTTGAACAACTGCGATTACTGTTTTCACTTGGGCATGTGAGCCCAGTGATATAAAAATTTTAATTTTTAATCTTAGCAATAAATTAAAATAACAATAAAAAATATTCTGTGAATATGTGGAATGGGTTATATCTGTGACATTATGGATGACATATTCTTGTTTACTTTAAACATATCTGTATTGTTAGAATTTTTTAGACACGTGTATTACCTTTGCAAACAAAGAATTTAAGTAGAAAAAAAAAAAGAAATGATTACTGTAACACTTTTGTTTTTATCCTATTTTTCCCCAGAATTCAGAATGCTGCATTACTCAGAGAGTTCCAGAAGAAACGAGCTTCAGTGAAATGACTTTCTCAAGCACAAAAGATAATGTAATCTAGTATACTATAATATAATAGGCAAAATAATGGAACTAAAGGTAAAACTCCCCGAGCATTACTTTAAATGGTCAGATCTGGCCCCCTTGCAAATATAACTTCAACTATATCAGAGAGTAAAGCTTACCATCATTCTTATTGGCATTAAATAAAACCTTTTTCCTCTTCTTTTTATTCTTCTTTGCACACCACAGTTTTCCTGTTGGGCAACCATAAGCACAACTCAATGTGGTATTTGTTTTCTTGAACAAAGCTACATATTTAAAATTGAAGAACACAAATTGTTTAATTTATAAGCACTAATTGCATTATTCATATAACAACTTTTTGGAGATAGATTTTAATTGTTGTTACAAACAGATAATCTTTAATACTTACATCTTGTCCTTTCTTTAAAGTTCTAAGATAATCAGTTTTGCCTCTTACATGATTGTAAGTTTCTTAAAAGTTCTAACTAACATGCAAATTTAAACGTGGTCCTACATGGAGACCCAAGAAATCTCTTATTAATATTACATATAAGCAACCAACCTGATTTTTCTGGCTCCTTATCTTCTTCTATTGTCTGCTTCATGGCCTCCCTTTGCTGCTGGAAGCTTTTCCCTTATTAGTAGAAAGAAGACAGAAAATATGATAAAACTAAGTTGATAAAAAATTTGCCTTATTATTATTTTTTTAAATAAAAACTAAGAGGAAATATGTAAAAGAAATAGCTCTTCATTTATATTCCTTCCTCCACATGTCATGAGAATGTTATCAGCTATTATATCTAAGTCTCCACAGGTTTACAGTATTTTCAACTTTGCTCTTAACCAATACTATGGCATGTATTATTGGAATGTTGTTGTTGTTGTTAAGTGCCTTCGAGTCGGAGCCGACCCATAGCGACCCTGTACAGGGTTTCCGAGGGTGTAAATCCTTACGGGAGTAGAAAGCCTCATCTTTCTCCCGCGGAGCGGCTGGTAGTTTCGAACCACTGACCTTAAGGTTCGCAGCCCGATTCGTAACCACTACGCTATAATTTAATAGGAAAGGTAAGTAATAAGCCAGAGTTAGAAAATCTTCAATGATCATTTTAAAATAAATTTTCACTGAGCACTGACTATGTGAGAAGCACTATGGTAGGTCTGACATTGATTCTATCACTTAGAGTTCTCTCAGATCTAATAAGCCAATTCTGGGAGTGAATGTCTCAGATTCATATGTGGCACATTCACTGTCACATTTCAATTCTAGGTCACTATTCCTTAATTGCATTTATTATTCTTGGCCCTCTTCCTCTTTGTGCGTGTGTATTTGAAATTTCCCCCAACTTTAACCTACCAATCATAGAGATAAATGGAAAACACAATATATTTTTTTCCTCATAGAATTATGATTTTAATACAGGGGCCTTTCCCAAGGTTTCTAACCTTCATCTAACTTTCTGAGCTATGCCTGTGGTAGTGTAGTGGTTACAAATCGGGCTGCAAACCTTGAGGTCAGCAGTTTGAAACTACAAGCTGCTCCACGGGATAAAGATGAGGCTTTCTGCTCCCGTAAAGATTTACAGCCTCAGAAACCCTGTACAGGGTCGCTATGGGTCAGAACCAACTTGACAGCACTTAACAACAACAACATACCTTAAAAAACTTGTTTCTGAAAGATAAAAGTAGTTTGGCTTTACTTGGAAAATTGTATTGTCATATTAGAGTTCTATATTACTATATCTCATTTTATATCTGATTCTTTCCATTTTAAGCCAGGGATTTTTTGAAAATCAATAAGCAAATTCTATCTGTTTGGACAATCTATTAAATGCAGCACACATTTGTAAAAGTGCAAGCAACAGGACTAACATTGCATATGATACACATGCACAGCGTCAGAGGACAAGTTATCCCCAGAAGATTGTATAGACTGCTTTCTTAGGAAAATAAATAGCTGGATTACAGGAAAAAATTTAAGAGCACTATACTTAAAAAAAAAAAGACTTTAAAAGGTTAAGAACAAAATTAATTTTTCACATTTAAAAAGTACTTCAACAGGGATGGGCAATTTGGATACTGGCTACCCAAAATGGGCAGAGGGGCGGGGAGAGAGTACAAAGGCAAGAAGTGACTGGCTTACAAGCTTTCAAGACCGAGCCCAGATCCAGAGGGCACGGAGGAAGGTAGAATTGCCACTGAGTAGTATCCAATCTGTCTGGGTGGGGCTGATGAAAGGAGATGTGGATACATCTCTTGTGATACAATAGTGAATAACTGTTATCAGGACTGACTTTGAGGGTTGGAAATGTAAAGGTAGATGTTTTGTAGCAAAAGGAGGGGAATGACTGACTTTGCAGTCTATGAGCGAAAGTCCCTGGGACCATCAAGGGAGAAAAGCAGAGAGTGGGACCCTACCCAGAGAAGCAGTGACACCAGAGATGGAGGCACAGACTATGACATGGAGAGATGGAGCGGCTGGAGACTTCAGATCCAGAGTGGGAGAGGGGCTGTGTGCTGATGACCCGGGGGCAGTTATACAGGGTACACCCTTTGGTTGGTTGATGATGCATAGAGGGGACTGTAACCATGGTAATGAAATGATATACGATAGGATGAATGTAAAGCTAATGTTCTCCCATGTAAACTATCACATAATTCACAATAAAACATTTAAAAAGCAAAAGTATTTCAAACAACACAGTGATGCAGTGATGTAGCTCTGTAGGAACATACATCCGGTGTTTTGTAAGAGGAATGAACAATCATTAGTGGAAAGTGAACATTATGATGCCTTAAGATTCTTCTAATTCTGACAGGAAACCATTATCTTTTTGAACTATCAGGGATAATAACCCTATAAGGTAAAATAAGGTGGGCCCATTATTGTTGTAAGTGTGGTCGAGTTGATTCTGACTCATAGCGACCCTATGTAGGGTTTTGAAGCAGCAGCTGGTGAGTTTGAACTGCTGACCTTGTGGTTCAAGCCAACCTTGAGGTCGAGTGCTTTATCCTACAGTGCCACACCAAGTCTAGAATATTAATCCCATGTAAAGAGTTAGAAATGGTATTACTGAAATGCCCCTGGCTCACCTATCTTTTCAGGAAGTCAATGCAATTAATTAATAAACATTAGTTGTAAATATTTATGGTCTAAAGCTGACATGGTCAGAAGATATCGAATTGGCATTTGGCACAAGCACTAGGTAGGAACCATGATGGCTGTCTAAGACTCTAGCATTCTAGAGGCATGTCCTATAACATGAAAGGTGAAGAAGCCCTAGATACCTCTAGTTCTTTTTCATCTAGAACACCTTGTGACAAGGTGAAAGGAACAATTAAAAAAAAAAAAAAAAAATAGAGACACTTCTGGTACAACACAGAAAGGAAACAACAATGCAAAAAATACAGAGTTTAAAGTCGTCCCAACTAAACTGGAAAATGATAGTAGAAAGAAAGTCTTTCCAGATTCTAGAACTGGGCTTTCTATGACCTTATGCACATTAAGAATAAATATGAATATTATGTTCAAATTTTTTGTATCCTAGAAAATCTCCTTGCGTTAGTCTCTGACAGAAGAGAGACCTAATAAATGGCTCCAAAACCTGTGGACAGTTTCTTCTGTTCCTACTATAAATCTCTCTACTAGGCTCACTTTCAACAAGTCCTCTTCTATATAAAATCTCTTCCCCTCTTTCTCCTACTTATAGCCAAATTCATGTACGCCAATCTGTAATGCTTGAGATTTTAGGATGTAAGTAGGATGTTTCTAAAAAGTGGTATTGGTTTAAAAAAAAAAAGGTTATTGGTAAAATATAAGGCTAGAAAATCTCACAGAAGAGTTTTAGATCTAATTTGAAGCATTGGCACCGGCAGAACCTTTTTTTTTCAAAAATCATCTTTTATTTATTAATTTAAGAGATGTCGGTGTATTTTTAAAATATGTAAACCATAGCCTCTGACCTTAAGAAATGCATACCTTGGGATAGCTAGTGGCAAGGTGGAAACACAAACAGAATGCAATGTAAAAAGGACTGTAACAGAGGTATACAGATGTGATACTATGGAAGTATAAAGTTGGTAAGTAGTCCAACTGGTTCTGACTCATGGTGACCCTGTACAGGTGGGTTTGAACTTCTGACCTTGTGGTTACCAGTCCAGTGCTTATCCTAAAGCACCACACCATGGCTCAAGCATAAAGTAGGGCACATTAAAAAAAAAAAAAAAAAAGGAAAAGAAAAAAACCCTGTGAGTATTTAATAGATATACTTAAAAGCGTATTCATTTCAGTACTAAGTACGGCAGCTTACACAATGCAGATATTAACAAGTATTTATTAAACAAATGTCCTCATCATACTGTCTGTCTTCCTTGACCTTGTTTAATGTCTTAACTAGTTCCCTTGGTTCTGCTCCTCACCTTCCATCTATTCCTATCCTGGGAACTGTGGAACAATTTGTAGGTTCAACTAAGCTATGCACTTCATTCTATTATGTATCATTTTCACTATCTATTTAACTTGTTAATTTGAATTGGGTGAAGGTTTACTTAGCTAGTCAGCTTTCCCTTCAACAATTCATACACATTTTGTTTCATGTCATTGACTGCAATCCCTACAATGTAACACCATTCACCCCGCTTCTTCCCTGTGTTTCCTGTTTCCATTCATCCTTCTTTTCTAATCCTTCCTGCCTTCTCAACTTTGCTCTTGGGCAAATGCTGCCCTTTTGATCTCAGAGTGGTTGATTGTTTTAAGGAGTACATACCTCCCTAATGCTATTACTTGCCTTATAGACCTATTATTTGGCTAAAAATTGAGCCACAGAAGTGTGAGTTCAGTTCCAGGCCTCAATGGTGACTAATGGCTATATTGTCTCAGGGGTTCCACACTAGTATCTGACCAGTATACCTGGTATTTCTTTTTTTAATAATTTAAAATGTTCACATTTTCCTCCTACTGTCTCCAGGGCCTTCAAAATGTGATTCCTTTCAAGAGAGGTTGGTAGTGGTAGCTGGGCACTATTTATTCCTTCTGGTCTCAGAGTTGTGGATGCTGAGGTTACCGTGGTCCATTTGTCCTTTGGACTAATTGTTTCTATGTATCTTTGATTTTCTTCACTCTTCTTTGCTCTAGGAGATACTAACAGTTGCACCTTAGATGGACACTCAGAAGCTTTTAAGATTCCAGTAGGCACTCTGGACCAAATCAGGATGTAGAACATTTTCTTTAGGGACTATGTTGTGCCAGTTAACCTTGATATCCCCTGAGACTATGGTACTGAGCCCATAAGCCCAGTGACTTGTTCCCTCAAGGTGTTTGGTTATTGCTAAATTTTCCTAACTTTGAATCTTCACTCTTTCTGAGAAATATGCTTCCTTAAACACTTTAATGTTCAGAGTTTCAGTTTCTTTCTTCTAAAGGGATAATTTTCTTCAATAATAATAAAATATTTTAAGCTCCCCATCTGACTTAACGACACTTAACAACAACAATTCTCATCCTTGGAGTCCTGGTGTGGAAGGTTGTAAGGTTGGTTTGAACCAGAAGATTGGCAGTTCAAACTCACCAGCCACTCCTTGAAAATCCTAGAGGACCACGACAGGAGCAACTCAACAGCATTATCAGCAACAATTCCCATCTTAAGAAGCTCTGGTGGCACAATAAGTTAAGTGCTGGGATGTTAACAGAACGGTCAGTGGTTCAAATCTACCAGTTGCTCCAAGGAAGAAAGATGAGGGAGTCAGCTTCCATAAAGATTTACAACCTCAGAAACTTTATGAAGCAAACTCTACTCTGTCCTATGAGTTGGATTCGACTCAACAGCAGTGGGGTTTGGGGTTTATTTCTACTCTAAGCTATCTCCTGCTTGTTTGCGCCAGTGAAGTTGGCCCCATATACAATGGAATGAAATGTTGCCCAGTCATGTGCAATCTCTTAGATCAATTGGGGGATAGGACTATTGTGATCCACAGAGTTTTAATTGCCTAATAGTCTGTTATAGTCTGGAAGCTCCACTGAAACCTGATCAGAACCATATCAACACACCAGTCTCCACTAACTGACAGGTTGTGGCTGCATATAAGAAGTACTGGCTGGCAACTGAACCATACAGGGAAGACGAGAATGCTACCACTGCTCTACAGAAATAAAAGTCATGAATTCGGCAGTGTTAGGACTCTCCTGAGGTCTTTTTTTTTTTTTCTCTTGATTTCTTATAGTGATGCATTTTAACATATTCCTTTTAATGTATCAAACACATTTGATACTCCAATAAATGATAATCTCCTATTACAGTATTAGGGTTCCATACAAAGTTTGTTGCCTTAATTGCAAGATAATCTACATTGAATATATGAGGACATGGGGTTAACTGAAGAAATAACAACATCATTCCATTCTGAGGCCCCCAAAATAGGTCACCTTTCTATTCAAGACACTTATGCTACAGATGTAACACAAAAATCTAACTACATGAAAAAGTAAGTCATAATTTTTAAGGGAATTTTTCTTTGCAAAGGTAAATTTTAAAAGTTTTTTTTTTTTAAATACTATGCATTTTCTATTATATTGTCTCTTACCTGGAACGAGCCCTGCTAGAGGCTGATTATCTTCATCCCCTTCCCTGTAGGCCTGCCACCAATTTGGATCTTCTTGACTGATCACATGAAGTATGTCCCCTTTTTGAAAAGACAGACCTAACTCTCGACATGGAACATAGAGATCATCTGAAGGGTCATAATCAAAATGAGCTTTTACATGGATCTAAAAAATAATAATAATAATGAAATGGCAATGTAAAATATTCTATAAACACAATTAAAGCATTACTATTTTTCAATAGAGAAAGGAAACTATCATTTGTACGAAAGGAATTTAGCTAACTATCAACAATTCAGAGGCAGTGTTTGCTCAGGTTCATCTGTTGTCTTCGATCAAGTTAATCTTGCTTTTGATTACAAACATGTATAAAATGTCCAAAATACTGCACTGTTCATGACCTGAAACATGTTTCTTTAGAAAAAAACAATGATTAAGGCATATCTGCAGTGTAGTAAAGTCAAAAGGCTATACTACAAATGTGTCTTACTCAGTCTCTCAATACTTTTTCTAAAAGAACATACTTTAAGTTCATGAAACAGGTATAACCCAATATTTTAAAATTATCTCTATCAAGTTATAATCAAATCTTATGTACAGTTTCTATAGGGTTTAAAATAAATACTAATGATACAAATTACTATTTTTGCTAACAATGAATAATTCTGTATATATAAATAAATCAAAGAACTGTGGCATGCTATTTGACATTAAAGGTAGGTAAGAACTCAGATTAATTTTATAGAAAGCTATCTCTAATGCCATTTTTTCCAATAAGCCTCTGAAAGTTTCAACAACCTGTTCAGTGCTTCTAAGAAGTGATAAAGTAATTAATATTTTCTTTAACTTCTTTTCTTCATCTCTGATTTTTACCTAACCTGGGCAGTATCAAAGTCTGTAAAAAGCCAATTATCATCTAATGAGATCCAGCACCTATATGCAATAAATGCCTTGCCCCACATGGGTTAGATTGCAAGAGCTGGCTCAACACACCAAACAACAGACTGACAGCCTAAAACTCTTATAATTCTATGTCCAGGCTTGTCCCCCATTGCCATCTGGTGTTCCTTAAAGTCTTTTACCCTCACCTACCGCTCCTTGGAAATCCTATACAGGGTCATTATGGATCGGAACTTACTAGACGGCACTTAACAACAACAATGTAACTAAATCAATTAGAACCACCAGGTCAGTGGTTCAATCTCACAAGCCGCTCCTTGAAAATCCAATAAGGGTCACTATGGGTTGGAACTGACTCGATGGCACTTACAACAGCAACCACAAATAACTAAATCTGCATATCATAGAGATAATACCAGTCTGCCTGATTATCTTCATGTTAAAATTTGATACAAACATACATAAAGATGTCCTTCCACTATATAATATAGAATACTCATGAAAGCGACTACCTCTTCCAGACTGGGGCTGAAGTCAATAAAAAATTATTTTTATTTCAAAAAATATTTTACTAACTACTGTATCTAACTTAAATGTGGAAATTCAAAACTCAATATACAGGGCAACTTAGACATTGGCTACCTAAAATGGGGGGTGAGATTGGGGGTTTGCTATAAAGACATGAAGTGACTGGCTTAAAAGTTTTCAAGAGGGAGTTGCGTTTCAGTGTGTGCAGAGGCAGAAATAAGGCCATGGAGGGAGAGAGCATCTGAGGACTCTAGATTCATGGAAAGAGAAAGGATGTGTAAGCTGGCAGCCAGGAAGCAGACTTGCAAAATGTGTCCCTTGGTTGTTTAAATGATTATATATTCCTGTGTGTTTCTGTGTAAAAACAACAACAACAAAAACCCAGAAGGAATAGAAGCAAATGCTGGTGAATGATGATGCACAGAGGAGATTGTAATCACTGCAATGCAACAATGAGTGCAAAACCAATTTTCTCCCATGCAAACTATTACTCAATTCACAATAAAAACTTAAAAAGAAAAAAAAAATTCAATATGAAAAGAAGGTAATTGAGTTAAAGCAAGCTATCCAATTAAAAACATAAAATAAGTAAAATAGAACTTACATTTTGGTCTGCTTTATTTGTAATTTTTTACTGCACACAAGTACACTTGTACAAGTGTGGTGATGTAGTATAAGCACTGGACTGTGAACCACAAGGTCAGTAGTTCAAACCTACCAACTGCTCCTCAGAAACCCTATACAGAGTGACTATGAGTTGGAACCGACTTGAGGGCACTTAAGATAAACAACAAAACAATTAAAGGACTCCTGATGTGGCACAGGAGGATAAGAACTAGATTTCTAACCACAAGATCAGCAATTCAAACCCACCAACTGTTCCTTGGAAACCTTATTCAGGGCTAGTATGAGTCAGAAGCAACTCTATGGCACTTAACAACAATATGAAGCACAAAGAAGTGCAAATACCCTTGGAAATCTATAAATGGAAATTTTAGGGATCACTTGAAGAGAAAGATTAATGTTTTACTATGAGACTCCTCAGAGATCTATAAAATCACATTACTTATTAGCCTGGCTGATGATTTTATCAAATCACTTTCTGAAAGCAAAACCCAACCAGTTATTTAAAGTACTTTGCTCAGATCACCTACCTAGGATATTTATGAAAATGTTGAATTCTCAGGCCATACCACAGACTTTCAGACTCTGTAACTTAATCAAGTTCCTTGGATATTAGTTTTGTACACAGAGCGTAGGGAATTACTGTTACTGTTAGGTGGTGTTCAGTCAGTTCCAACTCATAGCGACCCTATCCACAAAAGAAAGAACCCCTGCCTGGTCTTGCACCGTCCTCACATGTGAGCCCACCCATTGCTGCAGCCACTGTGCCAAGCCACTTGACTGAAGGTCTTCCTGTTTTTCACTAACTATATCCACTTTACTAAGCATGATGCCCTTCTCCAGGGACTGGTTCCTTCTGATATTACGTCCAAAGTATGAAAGACAAAGTCTCATCATCCTGACTTCTTAAGTAGCATTCTGGCTACTTCTTGCAACCTGTATTTGTTTATTGAATGTCATCAAAATTAAGATCAAAAGCATTTAGGATGTACTTTTCCTAAGCAATGTTCATTTCCTATTAGATAAAGTATCCACTTGATTTAATCTGGGTATTGCTTTGGTATGTAGAATGTAACTCTATTCATATACATTTCACTGATTTATCCTAGAAAGTGTCTCCACTGGTCATTTCCTCTTCAGCTTTTGGTGGCTGAACTGATGTATACTTTCATGTAAAGAAAGTCAAAACCCTTTTTAAATGAAGGAGAGACCTGACTCCTATAGGGAAGCGTCAGGGTTTAACAGCGCTGTTTTTAACAATGCCAAAGCTACGGTGGCAGACAAAAAGAAATCAAATGATGTACTACTTTGGGCAAATCTGCTGCAAAATACCTCTTCTTCAAATGTATGAGAGAGCTGGACAATCAATAAGGAAGACCAAAAAATAACTGGTAACTGTGAATTATGATGTTGGTGAGGAATACTGAATATACCACGGATTAGCAGAAGAAAACATCTATCTTGAAAGAAGTTCAACCAGAATGCTCCTTAGAAGCAAGGGTGGTAAGACTTTGTCTCAATGTACTTTGCATATGTTATGAAGACAGACATCATGTTTGGTAAAATAGAGGGTCACTGAAAACGAGAAAGATCCTTAACGAGATGAACTGATAACACAATGGCTATAACAATGTGTCCAGACATGGAAACAATTGTGAGAATGGTACAATACTAGGCCGTTTTTCATTCTGTTATCCATAGGGTCATTATGAGTCAGGAGTGACTTGATGGCACCTAATAATAATAATACCAGTAGAGCATATCTGATCAAAGCAGTGTTTGGTTTCAAAAACAAGATAAACTTTCTGTTTAAATTTCAAGTTATAGGAGTCTTTAGACACAATTAAGGCACCCTGGTGGTGCTGTAGGATAAGCACTGGACTGCTAATTCATATGCCAGCAGTTCGAACTCACCAGCCCCTCCTGTAAAGACTGAAGCCTCGCAAGGTCGCTCTGAGTCAGGGTCAACAGGATGATACTGGGTTTCGAGGCACAACAACTATTTTCTAGCCCAACATTTTCTTCTTTCTTTTCTTTTTATTTTTTTGGAACTATTCACATGATGAAAAGGGGAAATGGTAAAAGGGTAATGAATCATCACAGATTACTGACATCTTTCCTATAGGATTCAATGCTCCATAGTAATTTTTCTTTTAAATTTTTATTTCTGTATTTTTTGTCATAGTAAATTTACCTTTTCCTTTTTAAATTATTTGGGAAAGAGCAATGATCTACAGAACTGTAGAAGTGAATTATTTCTTTTTAACTTAGCCTTAAACCTCTAAAAGACTGTAACATTAAGGACAGCATCAAGAAAAGTCTTTGCAGTGTTAAGCAAGTTAAAAACTTCATCTTCCAATCTTATGATTCTTTCTGCCACCCTTCAGAAAGGAATAACTTTCTTATTTGCTCTCTTTCATTTTTTTACACGAGAAGTTTGAGATATCTCTGAAATAGCCAGCTGAAGTTTAGTAAGCAGTTCTGTTGGACATAGGGTCAGGTCACTATGAGTCAGAACCAACTCAACTGTACCTGACAACAACAACATAGCAGTCACAAATAAGAATTTTGAATCTACAGCAAACTTAATAGAGCAATTGCCCTAAACTGAAAAGGGACTGATTTTTCTATATATATTTTTTGCATTTCTGATAACATTTATAAAAATATTATTGCATTATAAAATCCCAAATGAGAAAAAATTAAGATGAAAATTATATAACACATCTGATACTTGTAACAGGAAAATAAGTAGCCTTGGTGGCACAACGGTTAAGTGCTCAACTGCTAGTCAAGAATTTGGAAGAGAAAGCTCCTATAAAAACTGTGAAGTCAGAGTAGACAGGGATGGGCAACTTGGACATTGGCTACCCAAAATGGGGGATGGGGAACTATAAAGGCAAGAAGTGACAGGCTTATAAGCTTTCAAGAGGGAACTTACACCCAGAGGGCCTGGAGGAAGGTAGAATCTCCAGTGAGTGGTATTCAATCTGTCTGGGCGGGGCTGATGCAATGAAATGCAGACGGGGTCTCTTATGATACAATAGTGAATAATTGTTATTAGGACTGATTGTGAGGGTTGGAAATGTAAAGGTAGACGTTTTTATAGCAAG